GAGAAAAAGTAGATCTACGGATGATCCAAATGTAGGAGTAAGCAGACAAGAACTTTAAAACAACTCTTACGAATATTTATAAAAACAGAGGAAAAGAAGAAAACATGTGAAAAAGGTAGATTTCCAATAGACAACTGGAATTTACATGAAAGAATCACAAACACACAGAAAGATAGTAAAACAATTGAAAAACAAAGCAGAGATAGCTACCTTGGTATCACAGAAAACAGATTTTAAGGCAAAAAGCATTAGCAATAAGGCTGTCACTACATGACCAAAAAAGAGTTCAACTCACCAGGAAGGCATAATTCTAAGCTTTACTCACCTAACAAGATAGCCTCAAAATGTATAAAGCAAAAACTGATAAAACAGGGGAGTTTGAAAATCCATCATCACAGTGAGAGATTTCAAAATACTTCTCTCAATTATTGACAGGTCAGGCAAACAAACGTTAGTAAAGACATGGGAGATTTGAACAATTAATAAGGTTAAAGTACATATTTAGAAAATAACAATTGGAAAATAAACATTCTTCTTAAGCACATATGGTACATTTTAAAAAACAGAGAGGGAGGCAAATCATAAGACTCTTAATCATAGGAAACAAACAGCGTTGTTGGAGGGGAGGTGGGTGGGGGTTGGGATAACTGGATGATGGGCATTAAGGAGGGCACGGGATGTAATGAGCACCGGGAATTGTATGCAACTGATGAATCACTAAATTCTACCTCTGAAACTAATAATACAGTATAGGTTAATTAAATTGAATTTAAGTAAAAAAAAAATTTTTTTTTTAAATTGGCCATACCTAGACATAAAGTACATCTCAAAAACTTTCTAAGAATCAGTAAAAATAAAAGGTTTACATTTGTATTAGTTTCCTGTGGCTGCTGTAACAAGATTACTCTCACAGTTCTGAAGGAGAGAAGTCCAAAATCAGTTTGTAGGCCAAAATCAAGGTGTTGGCTGAGTCCTCAATCCTCCAGAACCTCTGGGGAATAATCCAATGCCGATGGCATTCCTTGACTTGTGGCTGCATCACTCCAATCTCTGCCTCCGAGGTCATGCTGCTTTCTCCTTTTCTGTGTGTAATCTTCCTCTTATTAAGGATATTTGTGATTTCATTTAGGGCCCATCTGGATAATCTCATCTCAAGACCCTCTAACTTAATCACATCTGCAAAGACCTTTTTCCACATAAGATAGCGTTTACAGGGTCCAGGGATTTGGATCTGGTATCTTTGGGGGCCATTATTCAGCCTACTACAACATTTATATATATATATTTACTTTATGCCAGGCTAGATCCTGAGTACTTTAAAAATACAAATTTTTGCTCACCAACAACCTACAAGCCAGGTGCTGTTATTATTCTCATTTTTCAGAAGGCAAAACTGAGGTAGAGAAAGGTTATAATTTGCCCAAGCTGTGCCATACCTACATGTTCTCTGACCACAATGCAATTATTTAGAAATCAATAACAAAAGATTTCACTTTTTATTCTAAAAAAATTTCAGATTCATAGGAATTTTACAAGCACACAGAATTCCCATATACCACCTTTCACCTAGATTCTTTCAATGTTAACATTTTAACACATTTGCTTTATCTTTTTCTGTATACATAATTTTTTTCTGAACCTTCTGAGATTAAGTTGCATAGATAATGTCCCATTATCCCTAAATACTCTAGTGTGTACTTCCTAAAACTCAAGAGCTTTTTCTTGAATAACCACAGTACAATGCTCAAACTCAGGAAATTAACATTGATAGAATGCTTTTATCTAACCTACAGACCTTTCTCAAATCTTAACCATTGTCTCAAAAATGTCATTCTTAATCAAGATTTGATCCGAGATCATGTAACATTTACTTGTCACATTTCTTTAGTTTTCTTTAATCTGAAACTTTTGACAAATTTAAGTAGGTTATTTTGTAGGATATCCTTCAATTTGGATTTTTCTGATATTTCTTTTTGATTAGGTTCAGGTTATCACTTCTCGGCCTTTTGGCTAAGATCAGGTGTGATCAGGTTCAGGTTATACATTTTTGGCAGGAATACCATATAAGTGATGTTGTATCTTCAGTCCATGATAACACAATGCACAAAATATAAAATTGTCTTATTAATGGTGATACCAACACAACCTTTTTAAAAAGGAAATAGCATTTATAAACATTTGAATTTGTGCTTTTAAAAACATTTCTCAACAGGTCATAGGTCAAAGTCATAAATTTTTAAATATTAGCACTGAAAAAGAATGTGTGTACATATACATGTTTATGTACTCACACACACACACCTGAATTGTGGGATGTAGCAAAAAATAATTAAACGTAGAGCAATAGATGTTTATGTCAGAATAGAAAAAATGTTAAACATGAATGAAATGTTCAATTTGTGAAATAAGAAAAATAACAGAATAAACTGCCAGAAATCAGGAGAACATAAAGTGAAAAGGGCAGAGAGGATCGACAAAGCCAAATTGCTTCTTTAAAAACTAATAAAGTAGACAAATTCCTAGCAAAATGGTCAAGGAAAAGAATGTGAGAAAACACAATATTGGGAAAGGAAAGAGAAAGCTTACAAAAATCAAAGATTCCTCAAGTCACATTATGCTAATACATTTGGGAAAAAAATATGAGGCAGTGCTTAGAAATTTTTTTTTCAAAATTGACTCAAGAAAAAATAGAAACCTTGAGTAGTCTTATTCCCATTAAAGCAACATCATCAGTAGCTAAAAATCTTCCCACAAATAAATACTAGGGCCAGATGGTTTTATGAACTTTCAAGGAAAAAGATTGCTCCAATCTTTTAGTCTTCCAGAGCACAGTAAAATAAGCAACACTTCCCAGCTCATTTAATGAAGTTATAATGTTGATATGAAAGCCAGACAAATATGAAGATTGCAAACCAATTTCCTAAACAAAGATGCAAAATTCCAAATAAAATACCAGCAAATTGTATTTAGCAGTACAAAGATAGTGAATTATGACCAAGAATGTAAAGGTGATTTCATATTAGAAAGTCCTAACTAAACTAACAAGATCTCTGAAATCTTCAGGAAAGACTTCATGCAGTATAAAGTTCAATATGTATGTACTCCTAGCCATTCTTGGAACATACCAGGCACGCACTCTCCTCGGGTTCTTTGCTCAGGCTGGTCTGCTTGATCTGCCCTTCTCCCACATAGCTGAAAGGCCTCCCCAGGACCGTTCAAAACCTCTCTCCACAGCCACCATGAGTATACAAGCCTCCCACTCTTACCCTACACACACAGATTCCCCATCCTCCTTACCCTGCTTCATCCCCCTTCCTCCCCATAGCATAAAGCACTTACACTATGTTTCTCTTTCTTTCTTCTTTTTTAACCTGTCTCCCTCCTTGGCTTGCCTCCCCTTCCCCAGCTCAAATGTAAGCTCTACAGGGGCAAAAATTTTTGTCCCTTTGTTCACTGTAGTTTCTCCAGCACCCAGAAGAGTAAATAGCACATGGTTAGCACTCAATAAATGCACCCAATGCTATGTCTAGAAACTTTTGTAGTAAGGAAGACAAGCTTGCCTTATATCCTTTTAGGATTATCATTTGTAGTACCCACGTCGCTTGCTTTTCAGTGACACAGGTAAAAGGAGAGTGCAAAGTTGTAATATGCCACCATCACGTTAACATGGATTCATTTAATATGGTTGTGTTCATGCTGGACACCATGTTCCATTTCTAGATGTCTCTACATAAACCTCGACAGAAAGAATTACATTCCAAGAGGGAATTTAAATTCTGTCCACATGTATATGTTTTCATCATGAGATGAGTATCAAAGTACAAAGTAGTGAGTCCTTAAACATTTTTTAATTGAATTAGTTTCCAACATATTCAATAAAGAGCTTTGGTAATTTCCTTTGACACTGTAACTACCGAGCAAAGTAGCAGAATCCAAGACCACCTAAATCTCAGGTAATTTTTGGTGTCAATAGATTTAAAAAAATTAGAGTACAACTTAAGTTCATTTCATTCTTGAAAGGTATCACAATAAATCTCCTCTTCCACACTGCATCCGCACCATTTGTTTGGTGTCAGCACTGATGCTCACTCCATATAAAGTTCAGGTCTGTCGTATTTCAATGCAATAAATGCTCCAGTGAGAGGAATTCATCTATTTAGGGCAGGGCCACATTTGAGGACATTGAGAACAATAATAACATCTGTATTTATTCCCAGTGTATGGGGGACTGGCACAAAGAAAAATCAGAATGGCAACGTCATTATGTGTGCAAGACAATTCTTCTCGTGTTCCCCCCATGCTACTGCACAGAAACAATGAAAGAACAAGAAATTAAAATCTGGCTCACTGTGTTGTGAGGTGAGCTGACTCTATATAAATCATTCTCTCTTTTACTCTACACTCTTGGGTTCAAACCTTATCTAGCACACATCAGACTATAACATCAAGTTGATATAAAGTTAAGTCTAAAAGCTGTGCTCCACTATTTTGAAAGTTTGGAGTACGCTGGGTTCTCTTTTAATGAATTTTTTCACGTGCCTAGAAACAGATTTTCATGCCATTATCTCAGTCTTCAGTGTCAAATACAAGAGCACACTTGCCAAGTTGAAGTAGTAAAAGTTACAGCTCAGAAGTTTCTAACTTGGAGGGAAGGGAACATGTTTTGTATGCTTGTACATGGATCCCTCCCCAACGCTACCAACTCCACTGAAAACTACCACCCACAACAATCAACCAACCAACGTGTGAAAGCAAATAAAAATATCACCCAGGTCACTGTGGTTTCACCATTTCAACAACAAAATGAGAGAGAAAAAGGCAATGTGTTTTTCATAAAACTACGTTTATTCAGTTTAAATGATTCTGAGATTATGTTCTTAATTTTTGGGTGCTAAAATGTCTTTTCTTCTATGTAATGATGCTAATGGATCTTCCTGTTTTTGTTTTATGTCCTTAGCTGGCAAAACTAAAAGCTAGAAACACCTAAACGCTGCAATTACTTTTTTTTTTTTTTTTTTACACAAATCTCCTGGTGTTTAAAACTCAGAGCTTAGGAACCACAGCCTTGGTAAAGACCTACCTACCTTCCATGTTACATGTTTCACAATACTGAATTACTTCTTGGTGATTTCCCTCAAACAAGTTATGGAGCAGGATAAAAGTAAGTCTTCACTTACAGTAAGCCAGTGTAAAAACAGCCTTAACTTCAAGCACCGAAGAAATACATTTTCAATCATCACTGTGGTTAAATCAACTTTTATTAAAACTAGTCAGATTGCTATCTACAGGGTATCGATTTATCACTTCTCCATTATCATTACTGTTTTGGGAAAAGCCTGCGGTCACATATGTGAACAGGATTGATGCAGTGCAGAAACAAAGGAGGCTGGGGTCCAAGCAGGCCACTCTCCTGGGTCAGGGATTTAGTGGCACTGTAGGTGGCTGCTCATCTCAATGTATTTTTTGGTCCATTTACCTTTACAAATCATACCATATAGCTTTCAGTATTTACATGCATTTAAACTGAGAAGAAATATGTGTTAGAGGAAAGCATATGTTAGTGGGCTTCATGTGTCAAAAGGAACTCCATATGTCGTGTATTATTTTTATGTCATTAGCTACCTTTGAGAACAAAAAGTTCCACATAAATGTACAAACTGGGACATACTTTCAGAAAACCTCATAGCGATGCATGTTACAGTGTGTCCTCCCATAAGTGAATCAATTAATCTCCACTCCCTCGAAGTGTTAATAACAAACAAAAAGAGTAGCTGGCCATTACTTTTTAAAGTATAATTCAGAGAAAATACAAGAACAATCATCATTGGCATTTTGGGCCAAATGAAACCACTGAAGCATTATGTCTGACTCAATCATTCTGTGATTTGCCAAAATCATGTTCCTTCCCATTACACTGTTCTTGCTAGCATTAGTTCTATGTCCATTTGATAGGAACATTTATATTAAACTTCAAAATAACTCCTGGCAGTATTCAAAATATATGGCCAGAACTCCTGAAGGCAACTTTGCTTTCGTCCCAATTATGATAACATTTAGCCTTATTAGTAACTGATAAAATGACAACCGCAGACTTTGGAGAGGGGTGGGTGCCTTGCCGTAAACACGCGTAAGCTGGCACGCCTAGCCAAGCTACTCAGTACAGTTACCAATGCTTAGTTCTTCTTGGCTTTCTTCATATAGCGAGCCCGCGTGGACTTGCCAAAATTCATGGTCATTTTGAAATACAGCCAGGTAGGCATAACTGAAAGTATTGATTCCTAGGGAAAGAAAATGGGGAGATATGTAATGACAGCCTACAATTTGGGCTAACTTAGAGCATCTGATCTTGATGTTTTACTCTACTGTTGTTTTGTCGGTAAATCTGAAAGTTCTTGAGTGTTTAAAATAAAACATAGATGCCTCATTAGTAGGTCTAGACAATGTATAGATGCTGATACATCACATGCTATTTTGTGACTCAGCGGGAAAGAAAACCCCAAAGCAAAGTACTGATTTGAGACTTGCAGAGCTACATACCATAAGAAAATGGACCGGGTATCCGGTGGTTCGGGACTGCAAGCCCACCGTTCTCATTGCAGACTTCACATACGTCTCCGCAGACGGCTTATCCAGGGTTGGCTTTCGGATTTTCGACAGCTTTGTAGCTACGTAGTACGGCCGGACACTCTAGAAAGGCAACACACACCCCCCACCACAAAACACAAAAACAAAAACAAAAACCATGCTGTTGATTAGGAAGACCACAAACTAAGAACTGCTTGACTGCTCCTAGCGGCAGAAACATAGAAACACTGTGGTGAAATCTAAAGTCTGCTTGAGAGAATACATGACAGCATAAAATCAATTGTAATAAGATAATCTATCCATGAAACAATTTGAGACTGAGAAAGTATTAAAAATAAGCAGAAATAGACCTTTTTGAACCTTTAAAAAGAAGGCACTTAAACAAACCTGGAGAGCAGAGGTTCTGGACAGGATACTCTTTCTACTCTGATGAAACTGAACATGGTTACAAAACCACCATGGAGATTTTTGACATTTTATCCTCCTAAAGAGACAATGCTCATTTTCTTTCTGATTTGTCGCTCATTAAGATGGTTCTGTCAGCTTTGGTGCCTCTAAAATAAGCATTTCCCCTTCTCAGACTTTAGCTACTACTCTCCTCCCTAGTTTCTTACCACTCTGTGTCTGAGTTTTATAAACTTTGCTGCTGATAAGATCAGATCTCCCACCCCCAACCTTTTTTTTTCTTTTTTCTTTGTGGGGGGAGACATGTGGAAACAGCTTGGGTAACCAAGAGACCCTTGACGGGAGTGGCGTGGGAGGACAGATCTGAATGCTACCTGTTAGAAGAACTTAACCAACGTCAGGTTCTTTATTGCTTAAGCTTGACACATGTGGATAGGATTCAACATAGAACACAAGGAGACGCTATTACAACGGGTCCCCAGTCATGACACCAGAGGTTCCTTCTATAGTTTGAAATAACTTGGGCTTGGTTGTTCACCAAAGAGTGAATGTATTCTACTTATCGGCGTGTGCATGAGAGGAAAGGGTATCAACAACAGTGATACTTCTGTTAAAGAAAAGGATTAAGGGCGCCTGGGTGGCTCAGTCGTTAAGCGTCTGCCTTCAGCTCGGCTCGTGATCCCAGGGTCCTGGGATCGAGCCTCACATCGGGCTCCCTGCTTGGCGGGAAGCCTGCTTCTCCCTCTCCCACTCCTCCTGCTTGTGTTCCCTCTCTTTCTGTGTGTCTCTCTTCAAATACATACATTAAAAAAGAAAGAAAGAAATAGAAAGAAAGAAAGAAAGAAAGAAAGAAAGAAAGAAAGAAAGGAAAGAAAGAAAGGAAAGAAAGGAAAGAAAGGAAAGAAAGGAAAGAAAGGAAAGAAAGAAAGAAAGAAAGAAAGAAAGAAAGAAAGAAAGAAAGAAAGAAAAAGAAGATTGAATACCTGGTGATCAAAATCAAAAACTTCACTACAGGTAGAAATAAAATTGAGATGTGTTCTGGACTAGGCACTTCCTTCCTGCCGAGAGCTGGAAGGAATATTCCCATGTCTTGGGGTTTTTGTTTGTTTGGTTGTTTGGTTTTTGAATTTTTCCCACTCCCAAGTATGAGTCAAGGAATACAACTCACCCTCCTTAACATGGGAGCTGAAAGTTCAGCCCGCCTGGTAAGAACCAAGGACCCAAGGGCCTAAGCACGGTCTCTTCTCCATCTTTCTCTTATGTGCCTGCAGCCGGAAACCCACACTAAGTTAACTAACGTCCCCCAAGTACCTCAATACCTGAGCCACCTGTGATTAGGTGACTCTTCGTTTTTGAGAATTTATCCCTATCCACGTATCCCCCACTTTGTGAGCAAAATACTTTGTCAAAAAGGTCTTCAATTTTTTTTAAAGATGTTTATTTATTTATTTGAGAGAGAGAACACAGAAGGAGAGTGAGAAGGAGAAGAGACTCCCCGCTGAGCAGAGAGCCCAATGCGGGGCTTGATCCCAGGACCCTGAGATCATGACCTGAGCTGAAGGCAGACACTTAATTGACTAAACCACCCAGGTGCCCCAAAGGTCCTTAATTTTAAAGGCACACTGCAGCAAGGATACAGTATGAAAAGAAGAATTCACCAAGACTCTAACAATGCATAAGGAAAGAAAACTGTTTACCAAGCTAAGTGGCAAACAAAGCAAAAGAAAGCATATGCATATGCACTATCTCGAGTAATGAAAGGACACAAGCAAGCTGTGTCACATCTCTGTCTCAGGTTTCCTGGTTACAAAAAAGTGAAGATTTAAAAACCCATTTCCATCTATGGATCACAAGCCTGCTGAGGGTTCTTTCAAGTTCTGAGTGTCTCAGGATGAAGATGGTCTGATAATTATACCTTCCAATTATACAATGATATTATCACCCTCCCTCTCTCTGTAGATATATGGCATAAATTGGACTATTTGGATCTTGCGGAAGAATTAAGTGGCACTGCCTGGCTGAACCACTTGATGGTGCCACAAGTTCACTCACCATTCAGCTAAACCATCCAGATAGCCTAGGGAACCACCTAGCTCAGGAAGTGGAGGCAAGAGACACATGCCTAGGAATCCCAAGTCAAGCTATTTTTTTCCAACGAAGAAATGTAAATTCTGTTCTGGAAAGGGTATTTATTTCCGACAATGGCAGTTAACATGGCCTAGCAGAAGAGGCAAAGGATTCAGAGACAAAATAAGTTTAGAGCGAAGTCTTAAATAAAGTGGAGGACTTTGCCAGGTAAACAAACAAGGTAAGAACATTTTGGGTAATGAGAATAGTAGGAGCAAAGGAAAGGAGAGAGAGCATGAGGTTCTCAGGCAACTACAAGCTGTTCAGTATGGTTCAGGTGTCAGAAATGTGTGGAGTAGCGGCCGGAGGAAAGCTAACTGGAACAGAAAACTAAACCCAATCACTCGACAGTAGAGATTCCGAGAGTATCAGCTCTATGCGAACATGGTCTTATTCACCACCATATGGCCAATGCTCAGAGCAGCACCTAGCACACAGGAGGGACGCACAGATCTGCCGAGTGACTTAGCAACAGAACTCCTCAGTGTGCACGGCACTGAAGAATTGTACTGGGGCCCCCTTCCACCACTGCAGTCCGGAAAATTAATTACACCAGAAGTTGACAATGTAATAAGAGTTTAAACCAAAACTTTAGATATTCTGAAGCTTAAGCAAGATCATATATCTAAACTAAGACAAACTTATAGGTCTAACTACTTGCCAAGAATTTAAAAATGAGTATTTTAAATTATGTGTAAAAGTAAAGAAATGTACCTCAAAGTGTCATCTAGGTACATCCTTAAAGAGTTCACCAAAAACACAATAAACAATAATTAAATTGATCCATTCTCCTGCCACTCATGGAAACATTACAATGAACAGGTTGAGAAGATATTCACCCTTCTACAGGAAGTATTTTGGGCAGAACAAATTTTACAAGTTGCTTAAGCTCAAAATTTTGCCATTATAAAGATTTCCGCCTGGAAACAACCTGGGTCTCCGCAGCCACAGGTGCAGACAAGTGCCCTGATCTTCCAATTTAGAATCCCAAAGTGAAAACAATTAGGCCATAAAGCAAAGCTGTTGTTTTGTCCTTATTCAGCCTGTTTTTTCATTTTCATTTTATTTATTTTTTCAGATTTTTTTTTTATTTGAGAGAGAGCAAGAGACAAGCAGGGGGAGTGGCAGGCAGAGGGAGAAGCAGGCTCCCCGCTGAGCAGGGAGCCCGATGAGGGGCTCGATCCCAGGACCCTGGGATCATGACCTGAGCCGAAGGCAGACGTCTAACTGACTGAGCCACCCAGATGCCCCTCAACATGTTTTTTAAAAAACAAATCCCTGGAGACAGCGTGGTATCTTTTTTTCCTCCCCCACTGGAGTAGCTTGCTTAGGTAATCTGGTCCTTACAAAACAAGTGAGGGGGCCTGACTCAGAACAGGAAGGCTACCGTAACTTAATGTCATGGAGTACTGGAAAGATGGATGCCCAACACTGCATGGCAGGTATTCAAGAATCAGATACTGAACCTTGTAACTTCGGGTGGTCGAGCATCTCTCCTGTTGTCACCTGTACTAAACATGCCTTCTTGAATTTAAAAATGACCAGAACAACTCACAACCAGGCTTTGGAAAACGTGGATCCAGCAGACACCAGACTCTAGTCCATTTGCACAGTATGGAATTCTGGGCACGATGTCCGATCTGCCTTTTGTGAGCATCAAGTTCACCAGTGTGACAGGCACACATTCTTAAGGCAGAAGCTGTGGCTCTGAGGAGGCATTTTAGAGAACATTTTCTCCTTATATCTGTCTTTCTTCCATTTCAGGATCTGATATCCTCCGGAGGACCTGTAACTACATACACAGATCCTAGTTTGGGGAGCTGGTGTTACTTTACTTGCAGGCCATCAGATGAGCATTTCCACAAAAGGGCTCTTGCTTATCTCATCACTCTGATGGGGCAGAGAGCCCTGATGACATGGCATTGAGCAAAGGCCCCACAGTAACATTACGTATAAGCCTTAACACCTAAGCCCCAAATAAAGGAGTGAAAACGTCATATGTTCTGTACAAAGAAAATCCTTGATAAAAACTGACTGGCTGATAATCTCACAAATGACCTACCTCCAAATATGTGGAATTTATATGTTAAACATTCACATAACAAAAGGAAAAACTGCGTAATATCACACACACACACAAAAAACATTTGCTTAACAACAAACATTACCTGAGCACCTACTAGGACACTGCTGTTAGCGGTGGAATACAGTTGTGAACAGAAGCAAAGTCCCTAATCTTCTAGACCTTATATCTGGGGTGAGGGTAGGACACAAAGACTACAAACAAGTAGTAAAAAATGATACTACATTGGGAGGTGACGATAAAAAGGAAAAAAGAAAAGTAAGCCTGACTAAGGACAGAGGTGACAGAAGCTGTTCCTGCAGGTGACCAAGAAAGGCCTCTCTGATGTGGTGACATACAGCAAAGATTTCAATGAAGGGAGAGAGCTAGCACAAAAGCTATCTGGGTAAAGATCCTTTTCGACTGAAAGAACAGGAAGTGCGAAGGCCCTGAGGTAGACATGTGCTTGAAGTGTTTGAGGAACTGCAAGGAAGCCAGAGAAATAGCA